AGCCTTCAGCGTGCATCTGATCTGGGATCAGCTCTGTATTTACTGTGAGGATTGACTGATGCACGAAGGATGCTTCAGTCTGACCTTATTGAATGGTGGACCCTGTATCTCCGATCAGATGGCAGCAGTTCATATTCACTGTTCAGAACATGGTTTGGGTCAGAGATGATGTTGTTGGACAGCCTCACTAGGTTGTTATGATAGGCTGAGTCATAGAGTCTCTGACAGGGTTGACCAACAATCTTTGAGCAGATTTTTAACAGGTGGAGCAGTTTTGATTTTAAAGCTGCTGACAAACATTTGTACCAGGTAGTATTGCAGTACTGCAGAATAGACAAGATCACAGATGTAAAGAACAACAGAAGAATTTGCTCGCCCCAAAAGACCTGAGACGCCCCTGAAGATCTAAGACGGAAAAAATTCTTTGTTTTGTCCTTTTGCTCAGATATTCAATGTGATCCTTCCATGACAGCAGACGGTCAATCATTACACCCAAGTATTTGTATGAAACTCCCTGCTTGATTTAATCTGTATGGATGACAATGGGGACTTTATGGGAGTCAGAGGGCGAGCCAAAAAGGATTTCCTCAGTTTTCTTGGTGTTGATCTCAAGAGCATTTGTTATCAGTCCACTCCACCACCTGATGGACTGCCTGTTGGTGCAGCTCAGGGTCGTCTGTGTTACTGAGCAGAGATATTATTGCAGTTTCATCAGAGTACTTAATGATGACTTGATTTGGTGTGTTGGTACGACAATCATCAGTGTAGAGAGTAAAGAGCACAGCTGAACTCACACAGCCCTGGGGGGCCGCTACATTGGTTGTGATGGCAGATGACAGGGTTTTGTTAACCTTCACAAGTTGCTCTCTACTAGTGAGGAAAGCAGCATACCAGTAAATCGGGTATGGATTTACTTCCATTTTGGCCATTTTTGACACCAAGATGTCTGCTTGTGTTGTGTTGAATGCTGATGAGAAGTCTAGGCATTATTACCCACAATGCAATTGGACTGCAGAGCGTTTGGCCAGAGATTTGGGTGGGTTGTCCTAGACGAAGAGCAGACTACTGCTGTTAAGTTGTGTTCAGCGCCGGATTTAATTCGGAAGGCACAGCTTCAATACAAAGTCAATGCAGAGACGTAAAAAAACACATTTGAGCCTTGTGACAAAAATGCATCCGATTATTCATCCGCATGAGTGGAAATGTGTTTGCTTTGAAGAATAATTACTGTTACACTCCCTCTGACGTTGCCAAGAGTCTGTAATGGAGGACACACTTATTGTTGACGCTTGCAGAAACATATTCCAAAGTCAATACTTTACAGACCCAAGGATAGGGCCAGGAGGACACTCAGCAAAAGTGGTTATTTGGGTCATTGTTGCTGTTGGCAATACATGTTGCTAAGGTATGTGGTGCGTCTTCCCTTTTCTGAAGGAGTACTACAATTGGCTGTCGAGGGTCAAAATGTGTAAGTTGCGAAATCCTCATACTTTCCAAATCTGTTTTCCAGGCAAAGAAAACACGCTCTCTTGAACCCCAATATGAGATCACTTGATGACATTTATCAGATCATGTGCAACTCATTCTTTCCCCATATGCCCCTGTAAAACAACATTGATGTGTAAAGCTGTTGGAGTTCCTCTTTAATAAGTCTCCCTCTAGTAATCATGAATTTTATGTGATGTGAAACTCACCGTGCCGTCCTCTCTCAGGTCCTTCAAAAACTGGGCAAAACCATGGAGACCAAGGACGAACAGTTCGAGGTGTGCGTTCAGAGCCTCAACAAACAACAGGTAACTTTTTAACACAAGCAACAGGTCTCTCTCTCACCACTGGACTCACATATAGGTCTATACATTGCTTGCTTTATTCCAACAGCTCATTAGATCCCCCTTACCAAACATTCCCGTTAAAAAAAGTGTTTTGTTTTTGCTGCCAGTTCACAAAATCAGCTCAACCTTGACAACAGGAAACACTTGTTGTTTTCCTGCATATATACAGCTTGTCATTTCTCCTAATGGCCATAAGCTTGTTTGCTTAAACTTGTCATGGTTATAGAGTGGTGCAGGCCTGAGTCCTTAAACCTGGAAAGGAGTTAGCATGTTAACATTTCTGGCTCTCTTGTGTTAAAGTCAAAACAATTTTGAATGTGTTTTTGGTTACATGAATCAAACAAGGTCTGAGGTAAACACAAGTTCACGAGATGGCCTACATCGTAACATATGTCACGAGATACCCCACTTTTGAATGTCATGAAAACCACTGTTACTAAATAAACAACTAAACGTCATCAAGCTGTCCTTAGCCGCCTTTAGCTTAGCGGTGGAGACGTGAAGCCATTCAAACCATGGTGTAGTTTGTTTGCCTCGTTATCTTTGTGCTAGTTTGTGGAGATTATCCTGCTGAATAAAAAATGAAACGTGTGATGCTTATGAATAAATGTGTGTTTGACAAAGACCTTTTATGTTCTGCAATTTTCCAAATATTCAAAAGGAAAATCCCCTAGCTTTACGTTGAGGAAGCATTTTTTGATGCTAATATCCAGGTCGCCCTACAGCAATACTTCATCACTGCACCACTCTATTACTATGATTTCCCCACAGGGATTAATAAAGATCCATCTCATCTTACTGACCAATGGTGATGACAGGAAAAGCAAATCACTTAATGTCTCATTTCTACTTGTGCCACTGTTTTAGCATTCTTGATCCTCCTGTTACCACTTTTACTTCAGTTCGACCAAAGGTTCACTTTTAGGTTTCTCAACGCTCATTCAGTGTTGAATGCAACACTACTTGGAGCGAAACTGACTACAGGAAGGAAGTCTGCATGCTCACAAGACACGCTGCTTTCACTTCACCACCGCTATTGCCACATTTAAAAGTTGTGATTTGATATTTAATTTAAACTCCACACTGTGGTAAAACAACCATATATTGCACATCAAATGCAGCTTGGGGGGCTAGAAAAAGCATTCCTGTACAGAAAGTCCCCGAAAACACACTGATTTCAACACGAGGGTGAAGGAAATGACCACGCATAAATGACTCGGATCTGCTGAACAGATACCGTTACTAGGTGTCACCAAGTTGTTTGACTCATTTGTTTTTCTGCTTTGTAGGGTGATGGCAACAGGCTGTTTAAAGATGTCAAAGCCTACCATGCTGCAGTGAAAGGTAATGAAAGCATTCACAGAACACATCACATTGCCAAAGGAGTTAGAAAAATCCACTTCCCCTTTGATTCACTATTCTTGGACGCTGTGTCAACTTTCGCAATTCTGTGTGCGTTGCCATGTTCGAAAAGGACAAATAAAAGTCCTGCAGGGAAAATGGCAGATGCAGCTTTGTGGTTCATGTGGAAGAAACCGCGGTGTTTCTTTGGATGTCAGCTCTTGCTCCTGCATCGTCAGGAAACCAGTGTTTTTCTGAACTTCTCAGTGTGGGTGTAGCAGCAGAGCCACAAACCATAAACACAATAGCCTCACAATGCATTGCACAGCTGATTCTGGCTGATAAGGTCCTTACTGTATGGAGTCTTGATTACATTTCTTTATTTTGTCCCACAATTCCCTCTTCCTCTCCACAGCCATGCATGACACGTCCAAGCGTTTGTCCCAGACGCTGCGGGAGGTCTACGAGCCGGAGTGGAACGGAGTGGAGGACTTCGCTGTCATCACAGAGGTATGATCAGAGATGGCAAAAGTACACACATCCTTTACTCAAGTAGAAGTACAGATACTCGTGTTTAAAAATACTTTGGTAAAAGTAGAAGTACTGACTAAACTTCTTTACTCAAGTCAAAGTAAAGAGGCTTTGAAATGTACTTCAGTAAAAAGTACCCATAACTAGCAGCTGTTTTAAAGAGTACCTGACCTCCCTTTATATTAATAGAACAATAATGTCATTGTTAGCTAATGAATGTTTCCATGGTGACCAACGGCAACATGACAACGTTTTCATTGGTCCCTCTTCTTTAGAGAAGACCAGGAAATGATGGATACACGGATCGTGTTCAAATCAATAGGCACGCAATGACTCTAAATAATAATGATCACGCCACCAAACACACATTCAAACTAAAGGAACCAGCCTGTTTGGAAAATGAGAGAAGTAGAAAGTACAGGTATTTGTGTTCAACATGTAAGAAGTAGAAAGTACAGGTATTTGTGTTCAACATGTAAGAAGTAGAAAGTACAGGTATTTGTGTTCAACATGTAAGAAGTAGAAAGTACAGGTATTTGGTTCAACATGTAAGAAGTAGAAAGTACAGGTATTTGTGTTCAACATGTAAGAAGTAGAAATTATAGGTATTTGTGTTCAACATGTAAGAAGTAGAAAGTACAGGTATTTGAGTTCAACATGTAAGAAGTAGAAAGTACAGGTATTTGTGTTCAACATGTAAGAAGTAGAAAGTACAGGTATTTGTGTTCAACATGTAAGTAGGAAGTATTTGTACTCCACTACTTCCCACCTCTAGGTATGATGTGTTTGTTTGAACAGTAACATGAGGGTTGCTCCAGAAGGCCAGGTCATTGGATAAAAAGGGTTTTACTTTAGCAGGTGGGTCTTGCATTCTGAAAAAGTGGTTTCACCAAGCAGTTTTTAAAGATTTTCAGTTTCCGTTAAAACCCCCTAATTCCCAACCCTAACTCTAACCCAATTCACCAGCAGGTTCATATGCAAGTACACATTTAAGTGGAAAGTGGAGTTTCTCTCTCCAAGCCATACTTCTCCATTTCAGCAGCCCTTACATACAAAAACGTTTTATTTACTTTTATGACTTTCAATAGTTTTTTGTGGTTTTATAATTTGGGGTGAAGCAGCGGTATAAACAAAGGTTGCCTCTTATAGGTCAACAAAAGGGAAACAAGAATTTCTAACCTGACATCGTCCAAGGTTAACATTTCTGTTGTTGTTGTTGCAATGTATGCAAATCAGCAAGTATTTAGTAAGAGATTGCCTCATTTGCATATAAGAACATAACATTTAAAACACTTCCAATACAAAAAGAACCCCTAATGTAAGTAATCAACCTAGAACATCCTCATATTTAGGATTTTTTTAAATACAAATTTCAACCACATTCACCTGTAGCATCTCCCCTTAATTCTTCAAACACATAGTGCAGCATATTCATATTCTAAGATGTCATGTATTTGTTGACCCTAGTTGCAGTCAAATTGATGTGATTTGATCCCAACTGTGTCCCTTAGAGTGAAGACTTGCTGTGGAACGACTACGAAGAGAAGCTCAGTGACCAGATCGTCCGCACCATGGAGAACTACACCAGCCAGTTCCCAGAGGTCAAGGTAACCTGAGGCTTTTTACCTTTTACACCAGTTCCTTGGGGCAGGGACGTGCACACATAGACTCTAGGTAGTGCTTGAGCACCTGCCCGTTTTGCCCTCTGGACAGCAATGTGCCCTTTTGAAAGTTGATTTTTTTTTTTTTACAGTGTACTGTATGTGGCTCATGGTAACATCGATCAATTCTGGATTAAAAGTTTCTAATATATACAACAATGCCCCAACGTGCCCCGCGGCACTCCCGTATGTGCACTGGCTGCAGCCCCTCCCTTCCCTGCTCTCAACGTGAACGCGCAGCGCGCAGAGCAGACAGACAGACAGACAGACAGACAGACAGACAGTCAGTCACTCAGTCAGACAGGCCACGGCGGGTGCGTGGTGCCGCAGCACGCAGCAACACGATTAAAAGTGCCCTCGTGGCGGCCAATTAAGTAACCACCAGATAACAAATACAACGAGTGTATTGTTTAATCCCCTAAATCAGATGCCAAACTAAACTATAACTTCACTTCTTTTCTTGCATCCACCCATTTAGTCTCGTTGTGCACTTTGCAATTACGACATACAAGATGTGCCTTTAATAAATCTCACACTAAGGCAGCCGGCTGTTCCACCAGGGGCGTCAATCCCGGGGGGGATTAGCTTCAGATTGGACCCCCCTAAGTCATTTAGAATAATAAAAATAAATGTTAAAATAATTAATTTTTTGATAATAAATCAGTAAAATCAGGCAAAAATAAGAATTAAATAACATAAACCACTGACCTAACCCTAAAACATATTGGAAGAGGACATTCAGTATTTTCCCAACACAATCTTATGCAGATTACTCCTGAAATCACTGATGTTTATAATACTGTCAAAACAAATCTCTTTTTTGTTGCTGTTCTCCACAAACCACCGAATGTTTTAAAAGGTTTTGGTGGAAGCTTTATCCCACTGAAATAGACTTTTCGGTGTAAATCGGCTTAATTGTAATCAGCAACAAAGACAGACCTGAGTCCTTTTTCATGAGTGAGTTCACTGCAGCATGAGTTCACTGTAATGGGCTAAAACTGAGGCTGAATACTCAGGTGACTCTGAAATCCCTCATGAGGCCTGTGTTGCAGTGATGTTGCAGCATGTTGCGTAATAAACTGCTGTAGACTATTGTGTTTGATGACAGTGACGAGCCTTGTGTGTGTGTGTGTGTGTGTGTGTGTGTGTGTGTGTGTGTGTGTGTGTGTGTGTGTGTGTGTGTGTGTGTGTGTGTGTGTGTGTGTGTGTGGAGATAGTATCACTGTCACACAAAAAGGAATACACAATAAATAACGGGGGAACTTGGCGTTTGTTAAAATGAATAAATAATGATAATAAAAAACAATAGATCAAAAGCAATAACATAAACGTAAGAAAATGAATTAAATGTCTGATAAAAGTTCAAATAAAATAGAATAAAGATATTTATATAAGAATGAGTTAAAGTAAAAATGTCCAATAAAAGACTAAATAAAATTAAAAGATTTATAAATATATATATACGTCTTTTGATTTGTTATAATTTAATAATATTTATATAATTTACATATATACTGTATTACTATTCATAAGGTATTAATGCTGAATTGCACAGTAGTATACCTTGAAAACAGAGACATACACTCTGGTGTTTAGCAATCATCAGCCACTCAGCTGTGTAATTATCCCCTTTAGCTGCCTTTGTTTGGAGAGGAGAGGCGTGTGTGTGTGTGTGTGTGTGTGTGTGTGTGTGTGTGTGTGTGTGTGTGTGTGTGTGTGTGTGTGTGTGTGTGTGTGTGTGTGTGTGTGTGTGTGTGTGTGTGTGTGTGTGTGTGTGTGTGTATGAGGCAGCTCATTAAGGCAA